GAATGTACAAATGCGCTTTACACAATTGATGTGTGTATGGGTTGTGATAAGAGTTGTATGAGCCCCTAATAAAATGATTTAAAAAAACACAAACACAAAACCTAAGAAAAACAACCCCCTTGCTGTCTGTGACGCTGTAGGATAGAGGTGAACTGTTCCATAGGGCCCCCGAGGCTATGGATCTGTACAAAATCGAGTGGCCTCCTCTTTCTCCTACAGAGCGACTGAGGAGGGCATTGTCAGCACCACCTAGGGCTCCTCTGCTACAAGATTAGCAGCCAGCTGTTTCAGAATTATATCACGTGTATTCTTGCCTCCTTGGAAAACCATCATTTATTCACGTCGTGGCCAGCGTCCTCACAGCTCTAGATCTGCAGCCTTGAACTGTGATCCACTGCTCTCTTTATAACTGCCTGCAGGGTGGTTCCACATGTAAACTGTTGAATTGTTCAAACACAGAAGCAGCAAACAGACTGCAGGACAGTAAAAAACCACCACGCTCACTGCCGCTGGGCTGCCTCTGGCCCATCGCGACCCTGTCGGACGTGATAGAACTGCCCCTGTGGGTTCCCGAGAGTCACTCTTTACAGGAGTAGAAAGCCTTCTCTGCCCCAAGGAGTGGCTGGTGGTCTCCAGCCGCCGTCCTGGTGGTGAGAGCCCAGCCTGTAACCCCTCTCCCACAGGCAGTTACAGGCAAAGCCAACTCGGTGGCTTTGTCTTCAATTGGTTTGCTTTGTTCAGAATCACCAGCGTTTTCCTAGCCTCGAATAACCCTACTTTTTATTAGTTCCTTTATTTCCTCATTTAGTGTGCCAGCAATTAGAATTCTCGCATTGAACTGCCCTGGGTTTGCTGCTGACCTCCCACCCCTGTAACTGTCACTGCAGTAACCCAAACTCTTGCTGCCTCTTTTGTGCATTATTCATAGGCTGCTAGCTGGTATCTCCAACTCCATTCTTTAATTCATTCTGTGGTTCATCAGTAATTAATCTTCCTGGGACTCCATATCCTCAATATTTTTTTAACTTGCCTGAGAGCTTTTAGTGAGATTCTAGAATAAATCCTCAAAATTTTCCATTTCATAGAGTTCTCTCTTAACAGATACTTTCCTTACTCAGTTTTTATTTCCTTTTATTTCTTAGTTTAAATGATCACAGTCAGAATATTCTCAGTGACCTGTGTCTGCCAGTAACTTCGATGCCCAATAACTACCACTGCCATGTACAAGATGTAAATGCCTGCCCTCACAGACTTTTATCTTACTCTTATCTATTTGGGTCAAAACCTGCTTTCGTTTGGGTCAAAACCCTCATTATTTCAAATCTTATATTTCAAAGCTTAGCTTCTTCTAAAGTCCTTTCTTTTATACCTTTGTTGACAAATCTTGCCTGTGTGCTTTATTTTATTCAAACCTATATTTTGAAGGTGTTTGTGGCGCAGTGGGATTTACTTTTGAATCTGATGGGTACAGGTTTAAATCTTAATGTGACCACTTACTACCCTTCTTATCTTAATCTTTCTAGGCTACACTTTCCATATTTAAAGCTTTTAAATAATGACAAGCACACTCTTTTGTGACCAAAACGAAATAATGTTTGTAAAGCTTGGCCACACTTAGTGTTGGAAAGGAACCCTGGTGGCCTAATGAGCACACATTGAGCTGCCACCCACAAGGCCAGTCATTCAGACCCTCTAGTTGTTCTTCAGGGGAAAGATGAGGCAATGCACTCATGTAATACTCTGTCCGCTAGGGTCACTGTGAGGCAAAATGGACTTGATGGCATTGTGTATGTATGCATGTATATATGTGTGTGTATATACATTTATATATGTTTACAAAAGCAAAAACTCAGAATAATAGTGTCTGAAACAAAGTTCTACTTTATTCTTCTCATACCCAAAAGAAGTCTGAAGCAGGGCTTTAAACTGTGGTCTTCCTGAGTCAGCCATGGCCAATGAAGCAAAACCAGGGTAGACCCAGCGTGACACTGTAGGTGAACTAGAATTGGAAAACTTAGTCATTGCCCTGCTAGGAGCTTAATGTGCGCCTTAGAAAACAAGGGTTGCATGCTTAGCAACAAGCCCTCTTGGCCAGAAGAATTGGAAACAGCAGTCCTCAACCCTAAGATGATAGCCGTCTGTGCCCCTGTGAATGCCCGTTACCGTTCACAGTCCTGGCAACGTGCTCATTTCTCACTCATCAGGATGCTTAGATCCCCAAGGCTGGATTGTTGGCATTATGTGAAAATGGAGGATGACCACATCAGATCACAAAATGGAAGATGACTGCTTACCTGCCAAATTGCATCATCGCATAACTGCGAAATCACCGAGAATCATGACCCAACCAAGTTGACATGTAATCTTACCCATCATGGCCAGGGTTACTCTAATACCTTGGAGTTTTTCACTGCGAGCTGTATGTCATGAATATGCAAAACAGTTGGATCAATTTTTTTCACTATGTTTATTACAGTGAAATGTCAGTATCATTGATAAAATGTGCAGTAGGTATAATCTAATCTACCACTTCATGATACTTAAAGGGATCAAGTCTTTAACAACAACAACAAAAGAATCAAGTCTCTGCATAGTGATTACATGTTATCTGTTAATCATAAGGTCAGTAGTTCAAAACCACCAGCCACTCGGGAAGAAAGATGAGGCTTTCTACTCTAAGTCTCCCATTCCAGGGTTTCAGCCTATGATTTTTCCTGTTCCAACTATTGTTCTGGCTCACCCACATTAAAATTCCTTTTAAAATTTGGGTCTGTTCTAATTTAGCTTTGTCAGTCATAACTGAGGTAGTTTGAACAGGTTCAAGTCTGGTCTAGAGATAGGTATCCAAGACGAGTCATACTTCACGCTCTTTAGAGACTCAGGCTTTCTCTATTCTTCTGCAACCAATCTATTGCATGACTAACGCATGATGACCACACGTCCGAGGTGGCTGCTGGAGCTCCGGCAAGAAAAAGAGTAAAGGAAAAGGGACCTGCCTTTCAGTCTTGTCACTTTCTTGCGACTAGCCTTCCTGGAGATCCTAATAGCTTTTCTACTGAGAATCCTACTGGCCAGAATTTGATCGCATGGCTCCACCTTGTTTAAGGAAGGCCGGGTAAGTTATTACGCCAAATCAAACCAGTGCTCTCAAGGAAGAAAAGGAAAAGGGATTCTGGTGGGCTAGCAGCAGGCTTGGTCAGAGTTACAGCTTAACAGATCCTCCCAGGTCTCTGTTCTTTCTGTTGTGCATAGTCGCCTCAGCTCTTACTTCTTCTTTGCTTCATATGCATCTTCTTTTTCTCACTACACGGGTTAAGGACCAGGTAACACACTCCGTGGTTGTGTTTCGAAACACCTTGCAGAGTAATTGGCACTGGGGCCAAGATTAGGAACTTTACATGTATTTGTTCATTGATTTCACATTTCTTTTAGCTTTTTATTGTTGTTTTTCCTCCTGCATAGGAATTTAATACTTTTCCTTCTATTACAATCTAACAGCTGTTCTGAATTTATTGAGGATTTAAGAACATCTTTGCTAATTTCTTTTTTTTAATATCTTAAAAGTTACCTCATAGTGTTAATAATATAACATTTTAGTTTCCTTTAATTAATGCATTTCTTAAAAGACGTTTTTCTACATCTAGGGCTTCAGGATAAATTCTTCAAAGTGAACCCAGAGTAATGCACATACGTACATTACATACATGTACAAATATGCCTTTAATGATCCTGCTAATATGTAGAGTAGGACTTTTCAAAATGCTGTGTTTGGAAAGGCCTCAGAAAATCGATGATTTCTCTGTGCATGTGCTGGGACACTCATTTGTTTTATAAATCTTAGTGGCACAATTCTTCAGATGGTTCTTCGGCTTCTGGATATTTTTCCTTTTCACCCCAAGCAGTGAATGGAATAGGAATAAACGGGTACAGGAAACACGCCCTCTTTCCAAGAAGCCAAAGACCAAACTCACTGCTATCAGGTTGATGCCGACTCACAGCGACCCATAGGACAAGGAGAACTGCGGCTGTGAGGTCCAGGACTGTAACTGATTACGGGAGCAGAAAGCCCGTCTGTCTACCTCGGGGTGGCTGGTGGCTGTGCACTGCTAACCTTGGGAATTCCAGCCCAATGCATAACCACGATGCCTTCAGAACGCCTTCTTTCCAAGAACACAAGAAAGACAAAGAAATACATGTCTTCCCTTGCTGACTGAGCCAGATTTTATGTAAAGATAGGGTCTTTTGGTTTGTTGTAAGTGTCTTGGGACAGTAAGAGTTTATATGTGCTCTTGTCTTCCCTACTTTGGAACTTGCCAAATGGACTATTTTAAACACAGTGTTCTCTCATGTATTCTGTCACATTATCAATATATGACTATACAAGTGTAACAATATCATTTCTTTTATACCCCCATCACCAACCTGCAAATGTTTTCCCTTACTCCACGATGCATATGTCTTATGAAACACATTTTCAGATGCTAATCAAGAAGGGCAGGCTACCGACAATTTCTGCGGGCAAAGTCAGATATGCATAAGTAAAATGAAAAATCATATCAGTTAGTTATTCACTCATAAAGAATGCATTAGCAAATGCCCGTGAATGGTGATGCGATTTGATGTTTAAGTAGGATTGTAAGGAAGTCATGTGTCAGAAGAGTGACTATAGTGTTTGTTTTTCTTCTGTGCATATTCAACTCCCTAATTTGTCAGGAAGCTCAGTGGTTTGAAAAATGGTTAGGTCTCAACTTCTCTGTCAAGTTGTTTTGGGCTCCTGATTGTCCTTTTCTTCCCAACTAGATGAGAAGATAGGACCAACGGACTGCACAGATAAACAGCAGTGTTAATAAGAATGAGTCCATTCTAATGTGAACTGAAAATCATAGTACCTTTATGATATTTTGAAACTGGTATAACAAAGACATAGAGCTGTTAATTTAAACAAACAACAAGAACCTGGCATTTCTGTGTCGTCTGACTTTCCGGTTTTGTTCTCATAGATGTTTTCTCCCAGATGTCAGATTCCAATGGCTTAATGATACTTAGCAAGTTTGACCAGTTTCTGAAGGAAGCTTTGAAGCTCCCCACAGCTGTCTTTGAAGGACCATCTTTTGGTTACACCGAGCACTCCGTCCGTACCTGTTTCCCACAGCAGGTAAGGCCAGCGTTCCCGACTGTCACACACCACCTGGCTCCCAGTCTAGGAATAGAGGCTGGAGTCGGGGAGGAGCCAAAGGCGTCAAGTTGGGAGATGGGACAACAGAGGGGACTTACTGAAATAATGATGAGATTTGAGACATCTTACATTCCTAAAAATTTAAAGAAAAGTGCTGAAGATGTAGGACTTATCTTATTGCTCCTAGGCAGTATATCACTTCCCCAAGTGAGTTTTTAAAACTGTGAAATGCAGGAATTTTTTTTTTTTTAATCATGATGTCTTTATCATTATTTCCTGAGCACCGAAGACAAAGAATGTGTACAGCGCTCACCTGCCAACAAAGCATGCCTCCGTGGTGCACTCCTGTTTCCATGTGAGCGAAAGCGGGTTTGGTTTCCTGTTTGTTCATGGGTTTCTCTTCGTGGACTTGACCTTAAGCTGGCCTGAGTGTGTTCCTATTCCTGTGACTGTGCCTTGCAGAGTTGGGAGCGGAGTGGACGCTAGTGGGGGCCTCCCTATATGTTCAGGCAGAGGTTGGCTAAATGGAGCTCGTTCTTAAACTCACCTAGAACGTTCTGGAAAGCCAAGAATTAAAAAAAAAAAAAAGCACAAAATGGTGTAAAATCAAAAGGCAAAAGAGAAGTAAGAAATCGGATATTGATGTAGCCTGAAAGTATCTCCCTGTGAGATGCCTGTAAATTACAGAGGAAACACAGTAACTTGACAGTGGAGAGTCCTGCCCGATACCACCTGAGGCTACAGATCCAAGACCAGTAACGAGATCTACTGAGTTTGTGGCCCTCACAGTATGACGGCACTGGAAGAACACGGCATCACTTCAGTGGTGCTCCTGTCCAAATGCAGAACCGGAAGCTGAGGAACCGTCAACTACAAACCTTAAAGGAGGGGTGTCTACAACCTAACTGGCCTCGATGCTTCAAAAAAGTCTCTGGGTGGCACACACAGTTTGCCTTCAACTACTTCCCTAAAGATTGGCAGTTCACAGCCACCCAAAAACACCTTGGAAGACAGGCCTGGTGATCCGCTTCTGTAGATTGCAGCCAGGAGAAACCCCACCGTACACAGTCCTGCTCTGTAGCCCCGGCTGTCATCATGGTCACCACGAGTTGGAGACCCCAGGGCACCAGGTTTGATTGATGTGGTTGTTTTCTAAGTGATTCACGAAGGTCAGTGCCACGAAAGGCAGTGCTCTCAATGCAAGGAGAGGCGAAGGAGATGTGAGAAAGGATGGCAGCTCATGGCCCGGGCCTGTATCTTGTTACACAGGACCAGGAATGGGGGTGTTTGCAAAAGTCTGAGTAAGGGCTGTGGTTGAGAGAATAGCCTTCTGCTACGGAATGTTGATGTTGTTTTGGATACAGTCACAGTAATTAGGTCAGAGAAAGCCCTGGTTTCTAGGAAATCCAGTCTACTTCTAAATGTAAGGGTGAGGACTAGCTCTCCTCCAGTGTTCGTGGTGGGAGATTATGGACTCAGGGTAAGTGGGACTACTTTTGTAACTTTGCAACATTTTTTGAAATTAAGGTAAAGATTTAAGGTGAAAGTGAAAAAAAGAACCCAACTGATGGCTGAGAACCAAAAGGATTTTGTTACCTCAGTTGACTTCACTTTGTGATACTTTGATTCACAAAAGAACAGAAAACACCCCTTTTTACATTTAAAGTTAAGAATTTATATTTGTCTAAATTCTGACTTTCAGATAATATTGTAGCATATTCATAATAATTGCTTTTAGCAACTTCTGAGGCAAGTTTTCTCAAATTTGTACCTGGCTTCAGCTGGATGTTTTACGCAAAGTAACCTCATATGCTATTAGTTTTTTAACCCCTGTAACTGTCAACCTCAGTTTTTAGCATATTAAAAGCATCTGTGCTTGAATTTATTCTAATAAAACCATAGTTCGCCACACAACCCCTCCGAGTATGCATTTGAAATGTTACGCAGACTGAGAATTGACCCGTTTTCTCAGCTGCCACAGAGGTGACCGTTTGGAAACCCCATGGGCAGCTCTGCTGGGCCCTGTAATGTTGATGAGTCGAAATCGATTCAGTGGCGGTGTGTTTGGTTTAAACATGCCTTAGTCCAGTTACGTGATGCAAGAATCCAATGCCTTCGAGGATCTAAAGGAAGATGACTGTGATGAGGACACTATGAATGGCTCTCCGACATTCTTCATTCTAAGCTCCTCTTGCTGCTGCAGGGCCATCACCTCCATTGGTTGTCTGCACCTACTCTCAGGTGGTCTGACCCCTGGGGCTCTATCAGCTACACTAACGTGGCTTTTCTTCATCCAAGTTTTGGGATGCTCCTGCTAAGGAAATTAGTATCCAAATTGTAAAGAGGTTACATACAAAGGCGTTTCAGTAAAGCCTATCTCATAGCACTTAGAAAGAGATTGTGATTAGTGGGATACTAAACTTAAAGTCACCTTTGATCTGATTGCAATTTGAGTAATTCCTTGAGAACCCAGTATTAGAATAGAATGCTTAAAATGTTGAATAGTATTTACATTTTTCTCAGCATTTACTCTAAGGATGCTATCTAGGATTCTGGAGATTATTTTATAACATGGCTGTGAGGCCTTTGAATGGACTACCACCCGAGTGCTGCTTTTCACTAGCTTCCGATGCTTGCAAACCAGTCTGTGTGTTGATCTATAAGAACCCTTTTGAATACGTGGCGTTGGGTTGCTAACTAGCTGCAAGGTCTACAGTTCAAAACCACCAACCACTCCTTGGGAGAAAGACAGGGCTTTCTACTCCCGGAAAGAGTTACAGTCTCAGAAACCCACAGGGGCAGTTCTACTGAATCCTGTGGGGTTGCTGTGAGTCAGCATCTACTCGATGGCGGTGAGTGAGTTCAGTTTTGTGCTGATAGGTGCCAAATTTGGGGAAGTCAGAGAAGCATAGCTCCATCTAGAAGAACTTCATTTTCCTTGAGAACATGAGGAAGTTAACAAAACCAAACCTTGGAAGAAATATTTTCTATTTCAGTAGAAAGTACTGACAGGAGCCATCAACGAGTGAGACTGATTAAGACATGCTTTCAAAATGCAGCAAGTGTTCAAGGGAATGAGCTTGGGGTTTGTGTGAAAACGGCTTCTCTGCGGTATGCATTCCTCCCATGTGAAGGAGCGGACACCCACCGGGTAGGGGGGATGGTGTGGTGGCATGTGCAGATACCCCAGCCTCTCCGTTTCCCGGCAGAATGGAGAAGGCATTGCAATCACAGAGAGGAGAGGCTTGTTTGGAGGAATAAAAAAAAGTTTTATTGACATATGGTTCACATATCAAACACTTCCATCGTTCAGTGATATTAAAAAGAGTTGTACAATCATCACCACAATCAGTTCCAGAACACCGTCTTCCCTCTTACATTCATTATTAGCTCCCCATTTTCCACCCCCCACCCCCCACGCCCGTGTAGTCCCACTAAGCCCCCAGTCCAGTTACTTTCTCTATGGCTTCACCCCTCCCGGACTTCAGGATATGATTCTTTTAAGAAAGGAGCGGCAAACCCTGCAGCAGGCCCTTTACTGAAAGAAGTAGCCAATTGAAAGGACTCAGGAACGGCCTCCCTTTCCAGTGTCAGGATGATAAAAGCGTGGATCTGGTTGAAACAAGTTATGACAACATTTTATCTCCTGCGTTTTTTCAAAATAAAGATTGATCAAGTAAGCTGTCCTCTGCATCTGCTTTCAGTTTGGATGAGACAGGTGTGTCCTAGAAGTTATATGTTCCTCAAGGATCCTTAGGAAGAAGGAAAAAATGTGCTGAGAGAGAAGGCAGAGCGTTACCATCTGACAGTGTCCTTGGTGGAAATGCCTGTGTAGATTGACTGCTGCTGTGTTTGTGTTGTTGTTGTTTTGGTAATTCTCTGTTTACACAGCTGAAAAGGCTGCTAGTAGTTTGCTCTTGTCCTGGTTTTCTCATGTCTCATTACTTTTGTTTCTGCAGTTCTGCACATTGCACGGTTTTCCAGACATGCATGTGCTGTATTATAGCAAGAATGCGTTTTGTAATGATATGCATTGAATTGCATATTTGTTTATTTTAAGGTAGTCTTCGTTCTCTATTAAAAACAAAACAAAACATTTTTGCCTGCACACCCGAACTATCCCTAAATAAGAGAGACAGATTTTTGTAATGTGCCCGTTTTAGGAACAAAACAAAAATTAAAAGCATTTACAAATTAATTCACCAGAATGCTTCTTCCAGAATAGCTAAAATCCAGTGACTTGACACCACATATTGAAGAAGGGGGGCAGCCCCAGCTCTCCCGCTTTATCAGTGGGAGCACAAATTTCAAAACTCTTTGGAGGAGAGCATGGCGGTTCCTTCTAAACCTAAACCGACCCAGGGCCGTAACATTCCATTTCCAGGTGTCTGCCTAAAATAAGTGTAAAGGAGGTTCACAAACTGGCTTCCCCAAGAATACTTCTCACAGCTCGTTTTCATAAGCGCCCTGGTGTCTGTCATAAATAAAACGTTGGGGTAAAAGTTACTCCATGAGATAACTGGTCTGGAATTTGTTTCACAGTAGTCCATTTTGGAGGGATGGTGAAGGCACACACTCACTGCCATCAAGTCACTGCCAATCATGGTCACCCTCCTGGACAGGGGAGAACTGTTACAGGGTTTTCCAGATTGTCACTGCTTATGGGAGTAGAAAATCCTCTCTTTCTCGTGAGGAGTGGCTGTGGTTTTGAACCGCTGACCTTGCATTAGGGAGCCCAACTCATGAAGGCATACTGGAAACAAAATTAGCCATGTGTGAGGAATTGCTGAAGCCGGACAATAGGCATGTCATGCCATGCTCCCAATTTTGGTATATTTAAAATTTTTTAAGAGTAGACGATTTAATGCTAGTAGGAAATTTGTGATTATGATTATTGTGTAAACCCAAGCCAGTGATACCCCTCCAAACATAATACTTTGATGAGTACAACAGATATCTTAATATTGTTTCATATTTGT